AGAGAAGAATGTATCAGAGCCATCAAAAAATTCCACATGCTCAACTCGGTCGATTTTAAGGTGGACCGTGTAAATCCAGAAAGGTACAAGATCAAGTGTGTCCATCCTGATTGTATGTTCAAGCTCACTGCATCATACAGATTAAGAGGTGATTGTTGGGTCATAGGTTCCATGTCTACCCACACTTGTGTCAGTTCTACTCAATCACAGGATCATCGAAAACTTAATTATGATCTCATTTGTCAAAAAATCCTACCACTCGTCAGCAACGATCCATCTTTGAAGGTGAAAACCATAATCTCCCACATCACTACGGTATTTAACTATACTCCGTCTTACCGAAAGGCGTGGTTAGCAAAGACCAAGGCGATTGAAAAGGTATATGGAAACTGGGAGGAGTCATACCAAGAACTTCCTCGCTACCTGAATGCACTCCAGACTTATTCTCCGGATACTGTTTACATTCTGGAAACAGTGCCAGCATACGCCCCAGATGGTAGTCAACTCAACAGAAATGGAATATTCAGTCGAGTGTTTTGGGCTTTTCAATCTTGCATCACAAGATTTGCATTATGCAAACCAATTATACAAATTGATGGGACTTGGTTGTATGGGAAATACAAAGGCACACTACTGATGGCAGATGCGCAAGATGGCAACAACAACATTTTCCCAATTGCCTTTGCCCTAGTCGAGGGGGAGACTGGTGGTGCTTGGAGCCTTTTTCTCAAAAATCTGCGAACATACGTGGCTCCTTAACCAGATCTCTGTTTGATCTCGGATAGACATGCATCCATTGAAAGTGCATACAATAATCCTGCAAACGGTTGGCATGACCCTCCTTCTACGCATGTCTATTGCGTTAGACATATCGTCCAAAATTTCACGAGGGAGATCAAAGACAAAACACTTAGGAAAGCGGTTATGAATGCGGGATATGCATTGACACAACCTACGTTCAAATATTATCGCAATGAGATTCGTTTGTCAAATCCAGAAGCCGGTAGGTGGATCGACAATATTCCGGTAGAAAAATGGACTAGGTCATACGACAATGGCCAAAGATAGGGCCACATGACAACAAATCTAATTGAATCGATGAATGGGGTATTCAAAGGCATATGAAACCTCCCGGTCACTGCTTTGGTAAAATCAACATATTTTAGGATGGCTTCGTTGTTTGCCAAAAGAGGTGAAATATGGAATGCGGTGTTGCAATATGGACAACTATGGAGTGAAAGCTGCATGAAGTACATTAAGGCAGAAAGTGCCAAAGCCAACACCCATATGGTTATACGGTTTGACCGACACAGCCACAACTTTATTGTGAAAGAGACAATCAACCACAACGAGGGCCTGCCAAGACAAGAATATGGGGTTGTACTACCTTCTCGTTGGTGAGATTGTGGCAAGTTTCAAGCCTTTCGTATGCCTTGCTCTCATGTTATTGCCGCGTGTGCCTATACTCATCAAGACGCGCTACAACTTCTGTCACACATTTACAAATCTGAAACGTTGCTCAACGTTTACAACAACAGCTTCCCTTTGGTAGCAAAACCAGATTATTGGCCTGCATACGACGGCGAAATAGTATGGCACAATGATCAAATGTGAAGGAATAAAAAGGGTCGTCCCAAAAGTAAGCGCATCACAACCGAAATGGACTCCCTTGACAAACTGGAAAGAAAGTGTGGTTTATGTCGTCAGGTCAGACACAATCGCAAAAATTATCCGAATCGGGCTACTGCCTCAACCACATAAAAATTGTATTACATAAAATCTTTCCTTTATTATGTTGTAAACATTAGGGTTTTTCGTTAACAGTATTTGTTACAATAAACATTGCGTGAACAAGAAAAAAAACACGATATTCCGTCTACGAAATTACAACTGTTAAAACAATATCATCTGACCCATGCATCATCAACATTACGTCGCTGTCTGTTTTGACTTCCTCCAACCAAACATTAGGTCTTCCTGTCGCAAGTGAGGTTGTTGTTCGTCTTCGCGGAATCCTTCTAATTTTTTCCCCCTCCATGATGTCTCCATCTAGCCATCGCAACAACTCCTGCTTCAGACGCTCCATGGAGTGAATGTGCCAGAATTTCATTTTTATCGAAGGTTTTGTGGCGGAGAAGATAACATAACCATCTCTGGTAAAAATCATGGGAGATGTCATGACACAAATAACAGAGTAAAAAATAAGAAAACAGTGCGAGAAAGGGTGAGAAATGACGGAGAAATGGACGAATTATTTATAAAAACAACATTTTGCCCTAGGAGCCAAGTGAGATGGCGCCTTCTCTCACTTTTAAAGTGTAGGCGCCATCTCACTTGGCTAAATGAGAGAGGAGGCGCCAAGTGGAATGACGTCTAGGACATAATGCTTAGTAGAGGCGCCAAGTGAGATGGCTCCTCCTTTGGTGAGTCATCTGAAACATGGTTATTTATGATTTTTTTTAATACATGGTTATTTCAAAAAAAAAAAAGTTCTTTAATTGATTTAGTTTGGTTTAGACAATGAGTTGTATTTTTAGCGTAGACTATGGCACCCTCTTTTTCAAACGTTTTTTAAATCGTAGCTAATTAAAAAGCCAATATTTTTGTTTATTTTAAAAAATACTCACAAGCATAGAATAAACATAATTAATTGCATAATAACTCATCTAAAATGAAAGCAAACAACCTTTAAAAGTTTGTCATTGTACAAAATTGATTCTATAACTGGTGTAGAAATGGGTTAGACTGGCTTATAAGAGTCTGTAGTCTAACTTATTATAATTTAGGTAAGAGTGTTCGTAGGTCGGTCTGGTTCTGTTTTGAGAGAATCTGATATTTAAATTGATAAAAAAATGTGGATTTGTTTGGGTTGAATTTTCAAATTTTTTCGATAAAATTCAAACTGAACTAAACCAAGAAATAATGAGTTGGTTTTGGTTGGATTGATCGGATATATTAGATTTAAATATGTATAAATATTTTAAAAAATATCTCTTTTACATCAACAATTTTCCATAGTAATGTAATTTATTAATGTTTTCGTTTCTCCATATAAGTTGTGAATGTCGCAAATGATATTTCATTTTTCTTCTTCTTGAAATTGAATATCTTATATTAGTTTCTAATAATGTTTATATAAATTATATGAAATAATATGGTTGGTTCGGAGAGACAGACTCGTAGATAGAATTTTTAAAATCAATTACCCGAATCAATTAACATCGAGTTTCATTGATTTGATTTGATTTTTAACCGAATAAAAAAATATCCAATCCAAACACCTTGATTTGGTTTGGATTTCGGTTTGATTCGAATTTACATGAACCAATGGACACCCCTAAAGAGCCAGGTTAGATCGACCTATTTAATAAAAATATCAGACTTATGTTTTTTAAAAAACCTATTTAATTAAATAGACCAGATTTATGTTATTAAAAAACCTTACGAAGCCTTAAGCCGTATATATATATATATATATTCAACCCAAACATCTTGGTTTGGTTTGAATTTCAGTTTGGTTCGAATTTGTCTGAACCAATAAACACCCTAAAGTCCGATCAGGTCAGACCTATTTAATAAAAATATTAGACTTAAGCTTTTTTTAAAACCTATTTAATTAAATAGATCAGACTTATGCTATTAAAAAAAATCTATGAAGTCTCTCTCAAATAAGCTTTTAAATAATGAAAAACAAGCTTTTAAATAAGCTTATAATAAGCTTTTATAATAACCTTAATGAAAAATAAGCTTTTAAATAAACTTATAATAAGCTTTTATAATAACCTTAATGAAAAATAAACTTTTAAATAGACTTTCAAGTCAAACCAAACATTTTAAAAGGTCAGGTCAGACAATAAAAAAAGCCTATAATAAACTATAGACCAGACTTAGACCTTATAAATTTATCGTAGATCAAACTCAGGCCTTCTAAAGCCTAGACAAACCTATTTTCATCCCTAATAATAACTTAAATACAATTAAATTACACATGACTTATTAACAATATTCTTAATATAAAAATATTTAACTATTTTGAATCATAGTCTGATATTAGGGATGACAAGACAAGGTTTGAAGAGGGGTACTATAATATCCATTCCCATATTCATACCCACAGTTTGAAAAAATCATCGTACCCGAGTCCAAACCCGTGTGGGCACCAATGTTCATATTCATACACATACCCTCTGGGTACTTCAATAACGATACACGTACCAGTTTATTTGTGTTTGTAGTAAAATTAAATCAATTAGTTACAAAATATCATATAATTTTAAATTTTTTTAACAATATTAAAAAAAATTATGAGATGTTATTGTTGAGTTAAGAAATAAATAAACACTTTTATTAAAATGTGTAATAGCAATATATTTTTCTAAAAAATTGATAAATGTGCATTTTTATATAATAATACAAATGACATTATATAAATATATATAATGCGGATATGGAACGGAATGGATAATAAAGTACTCGTGCCCACACTCATACCCGCTTATTTTAATGGACAATTACACGTATCCATATCCATATTGCAGGTATTTATAAAATATGAGCCAAATTGTATCCCTATCTGACACCCATATTACACATAATGTGTCATACAAATATTTTAAAACATAATGTGTCATACAAATATTTTAAAACATAATGTGTCATACAAATATTTTAAAAAAAACAAAACAGTTGATCAAATATTTTCAACTCGGTCATAAAAGATTGGTGTATCTCAAATGTCTGGTTTGGTTGGAAGAAAATGCTATTCTTTATGGCCCAAAATAGTTTATGCTATTTTGGCAATGCTATATTACCGTTCTATGATTAATTACAACTTTTGAGGTTCACTTTATGATTGATCTCCCATCCAAATTGATCCAAAAAAAAAAAACAGCAAACCGAATTAAAAATCTACAAACACAAATAACCTGAGCTTATTTTGATCTTTGAATCAAATACTTTTTATCTTAAAACCGATTCAAATTGAACTACAAAATACCTATTCAAGAAAGAGATGCTAAGGATCGAAGACTATCAATGACAGAGTTGATCGCAGCATGAGAACCATTTGTAGCATTAAATGAAAGATGCTTAGGAGCTTCAGCTCTATCAAAATAAAATCCACCTGATACCAACTTCTCCTTTGGTTGTAACGCCAACCAGATAATTGTGTCTGCTCCTTCTTCGCTTGTTCTAAGCTTCCCAGCAAGCCTGTAATTAATTCAGTCAGTATAACTATTTTAGGATTCAAGACTATCGACATAGTCTGATAGGACGTGCAATTAGATATTTTAAGTAGTAATATAATTATGTTAGTTGCTATCTTTAAATGATGTCGAATTGGGCCTTTAATAGAGTTTGAGCCTTACGATTTTGGATGATGTAAGAACACAAGCATTACTTACGATTTTGAAAAGTTTGGTAAACTTCTTGCCACACCAGGAGTTTCAGCCCAACCTGGATGCATCGAGTAAAATCCTATCCCTTTGTTCTTATATGTCTCGCCCCAATTTTCTGTTAGTGCAACCTGAACGCGCTTATTTCGAGCATACTGTTCACTCCCATTAAAGTTGCTTTCAGAGTACTGGTAAAAAAACCAGAATAAATGATACTGAAATCCTATAAATGATTGAGTAATCTGAAATGTTCATAACACAGTTAGTTACCTGTAGATCTTTGGTCAAAGGAGTACTATACATTCCACCAGACGAAACCGTAATGACGCGTGCATCAGGGGAAGCTTTCTCCAATAGTGGTACCATCAGTTCAGTCATTGTGTAAGTTCCTAATACATTGATAGCAAAGCTCACCTCAAACCTGGAATGGAAAAACTAAAATTGAAAGCAGTTTTGTGAAATAGTGGATATAGCATAGAAGTATTCGAACAACCGATATTGTTGTGATACACGGTTTAGTATAAAGTGTTCGAATAGCAGCTAGAGCACTCTCGCGTAGATGAATTTGAAAAAGACACAAGATCAATTACCACTACAGGTAGAGTTGGCGGAAAACTTGTTTCCACGTTCAACAAAAAAAGACTCACCCCTCTGATGTTGTCACTCGATTTTGCTCAAGCACACCAGCATTGTTAACCTTGATGCAAAAAAAGTTCCATATTAGACTATATTCAAGAGAATAAATTGGCTAAAATTATCATATCAGAAGTTAAATTTGTATTGCAAAAAAGATATAATAAGTTTTAATTTCTTGCAAAGTGATTGACAATTTACCAACACATGTAGTGGTATATTCTTTTTGGAAAACCTGGAAGCAAGTGACTTGACATCTGAGACAGATGACAAATCACAAATCTGCAAGAAAAATTAGCTAGTCATGAACAATCATAAGATTAACAGTTACTATTTCGAAATCAACTCAATTGTGAGAAATGCCATACAACTTAAGCTCAATACACAAAATTATGAAAGTCTAAATGCATGTTTGGTTGTGTGGTGAAAACAATTGATTTGAAATGACTTGATTTTGGAAAATTGATTTTAGCTATTTGGTTTTGCGTTGAAGAAAATTAGTTTTGAGTGAATTGATTATGTAAAATTGGTTCTAGCTAAAAGTGAGTTGAAGTTAAAGTGATTCATATTTGGATAAATTGCTGCAAGCGTGAGTTGAATAGTAAATATCAGTGTAAAAATCACGTTTAGACTCAAAAGCTATAAACTCTAGTTTCAAATAGAATCAATTCTATAAAGCATAATCAATACATCTCAAGAGCGACCAAACATATTAAAAACAATTCTACACATTTAAAATCAATTCTGGGTGTTCAAAACGTAAAACCAAACATACACTAAGACTTTGTTTGGGAGTTTGGAGGAGAGGGGAGGGGAAGACTTTCGAAAATGAATTTTTTTTTAAAATATACGAAAATATTGTACATTTTTTGAAAGAATGATTTTGTATAGAATGATAAAAGAGTGTTAATCATTACCATATTTTTAATTTCACAATACTATAATAACATAAAATATATTTGGAAAATTTACGTAAGTCCTTCAAAACTCTCTAAAACGCTCTTTTAATACAAATTTTGAGTTCTCTCAAATTAGGGAGTTTTTGGTGTTATGAATAAAAACAAACCCTCCAAAACCCTCCCAACCAAAATTCTTCAATTCTTTCCACTCAATCCTTCCTTTTTTTCAAAGTCCTTCCCTCCCTCTCTTCCCCTCCAAACTCTCAAGCAAAGTCTAAAAGTGAGTTAAATGTAAAGTAATTTATATTTAACTACATTCATGCGAATTGAATAAATTTGAGGTTAAAAAACAATTTTAGAGGCAAAAACTCAAGATTCTAACTTAAGTTAGAATCAATTCAATAACCAAAATCAATTTTACTCTAGAATAATCAAACGTATCAAAATGAATTCTACACGGAATCATTTTACCTTCTCTAAACTTGAAACAAAACATACACTAGTGCTTTTGATGACTAAATAAAAGGATTGGTGGCTACACAATAGGAGAGAAACAAAAAAAGAAATACCTCCAAATGTACATTTTGATTGCCAGTTTTGGTTTGAATTTGAGAAAGAGCAGCCTCTCCTCTCTCCTTATTACGACATACAAGATAGACGTTTGCACCACTGGCGAAAATCATTAACCATAGATTAGCATATAACTCCGATACTGAAAAATACAAAAGTCCAGAAACAAACATCAGATGAAAGATCAAAACCGCTGCGCAAGACCCTCAGCTGTTGCATAACCAATTCCAGAGTTTGCTCCTGTAACTATGCAATTCTTCCCTGGTATTTGTGTTTCCATTTCCTCTGGTTTGAAATTCTTAGAATGCTCACTGTGAAAGTTAAAATCTCATACATGAGAAATTAACAAAAGCTACCAATTTACTACGTTCTACTTTTGCATCCTCAAAAAATATATTAAACTTAATGATAATAATTCTTCGAATTTGGGTTTCGGTCTAACTCAATCCCAAATACTAGCGGTCTAACTCAACCCCAAATACTAGCCCATAGGAAGGTTGCTCCCCACTTATAAATCACTATTTTAGCTATATTAGTAATCATTGCGAGATCGCTTAATAACCCCTTCACGTCAAAGATTTGACACGTTTAAACAACGGTTAAAAAGGACCTCGTAAACCATGACAAAATAAAATATCTATTTGATTTGCCACACTTAAAATGTGGTTAACTTACTCAGAACCTCTGAAAACTTAAAAAACTCTGATATGGATCATGAGGTTTGGAGGACCATGCATTATACATACACATGTTTTAGGAACTAGTTAGTTATTTGAAGAAAAAAAAAACTTACAGAAAGGCAGGTTTGGTGAAATTGAGGTAACCATAAACACCAAAAGCAGATTGTCTCCATGTCTGATGTAACAGAAACAGCAAAAGGTTAAAGAAGTTAGGGTTACAGAAAATGTAAAATAGAGAGAGAGAAAAAATACCTTGAGAAGAAACATTGTGAGAGTTGGAATTGTAATGTTGAATTGAAACTCAAACTGTAATTGCAGCATGTTCCGTTTGTTATGGGTACTTACTTGACGTGTGCATATTGAACGAACCGCACTTTTCAGTCACGTGCGTTGCAGGTGCGGAAATTGTACTATAGGCTACGCAACACCTATTACCACCGCTCCTTATGGTTTTGCTCCCATGACTTTTCAAAGTTTTTTTTGGTTAAATTCTTACTTTTATTTTTGCAATATTGAAAAAAGTTTGGGTTTTTTGTTATGCCTACTTTTAATTAGGGTCGGCAAAACATGTTCGGCCTGTTGGGTATATTCGTTTTACCTGTATTTTAGTGTGAAAGGGGTTAAGGGTTTAAGTTCTTACTTTTTAATGTGTCAGTCTCATCCTGCTTTATTTTTTATGCGGGTTTTTGCGCGCATGTGTATTTAGAGAAATATTTTTATTTTTAGGTTTAAAAGGTGCAGTGCCTGCAGGCTTTTTCCGTCTCACCCTCAATTTTTTTGTGGGGCGATGATAGATTTTTGGTCTGCATCTTCAACAATGTCTGCTCGGTTTTTTTCCGAGCTTTTGCAGGATGGACCTAAATCGGGAGGACATGTCCGTTTGTCAGTCCTACTTTTAATATAATAAAGTAATACACTAGCATTATTACTTTAATCTCCTAACTCAAACAGTTAAACAAACTTAATTAGTATCTTAATAGTAATTTCATACCTATAATCATTTGTAACCTAACTCAAGTTTCGTAATTGAAAATATCATTATTTTCGGCAGCCACAACAATAAATTTTGCATTGGAAGAATGCAAAGTCACTCAAATGTTTGGTTTTGCATTGGAACAATGAAAACCCTATCTCCTTTCAACACAAAAAACATTCATTTGATCTCTTATTTATTTGAAACAAACCATATATTCTATTAATCTCTTTTGTTTAATCTCTATTCATTTGTTCTCTTTCGTCTTCCACCATCATCCAATATCCGATGTTGATAATTTTCTTTGTCATTCATTATATTCATCTGTTCAGGTTATTCAGTGTTATAACATATTGATTTGTTTAATCTGTAATGTTAGACTGCAACCATAAAATGAGTCAGAAGATTGACTGTATCAAGGACGTTAACGAGACAAAGAAAACTTGGAGTTGGCGGTTCGAGTCGTTGATGAATGGATCGTTATTAACAGTAAGGGAGTTGAGCATATGTAGATGGTTTTAATGGATGCAGCAGTAATGTTTTTTCAAACCCTTCGTATGATTACTTATTTTTCATATTGAACATCTTAAAAAATCTACTTCTTTTCAAATGTGTTTTAAAGTGATAAGATACAAGTTTTATTATGTGTTGATCATACACCTAAATGGAAAGAACAAATTCAAGAGAATATGACCTTCATAATCAACAACAGTTCGATATATGGTAATAATTTTTAGTGGAAACTTTGTGATCATTCAAAGAAATTCGTGTTCCTTGGTGGTACGACATTGAGAGCTATGGGTGTTCAAAACATCCCTCCAAAAAGATATTATTTCAAAGATTTTGCTGATATCCTTGGAGGCAAATGTGAGACTAACATATTGGAAGGTATGATATGTTGGAAAAAAATTAGGTGATAAACTGTTAAGTAGATCAATACCGTAATATAAATATATTTTGGTAAATATTTTGAAGATATTATTGGTGTTGTGCATGAAATCAACAATTACCAGTGTAACATAATGGGGAAAAAAACCTTTGCTTCACTATATCTTAAAGACTTGAGGTTAATTATGCCCTCATAGATCTTTATGTATTTCAATGAAATGTTTGTTGTAATATGTCATTTTGATATATTGTTAATCTAAAGTACTTATTTTAACTATTTAAAATAGTGGTAATTTTATTAACTGCACTTTATGGGAAAGTTATTGAACCAAGTTTTTGGATTACTACAATGATGTCAATAACAATGGTGCTATTGTCATTATTCTCACTCATGCCATGATCAAGGATTCACAAGGTTTAAGTTCATGTCTTTTGTACCCACGTGAGTTTAAATTCGTAAACATGACTTTTGATTATATTTTGTTATTTGTCATTTTCAGTTTCAAATGGATGGAGTGGTTCTAAGTTTCTAATTAATGAAGAAATTTCCGACATTACATAATATCTCTCTAAGTAATCAAATTAATCATGTTTGCATTTTAATTGTGCCTATTGTGGTATTGAAATTTATTTATTTTAATAGATCAATATGGTTTGTAGGTTACATGCTAATGAACAGACTGAAAACTGAAAAGCCTACTCAATCATCAAAAGCTCAGTCTAATTGGTCTGGTGCATCGCAGTTTAATATAGTTGAGAAGTTTGTTCAAAAGGCCAAGTGCATGTCGTGAAGTGAGCTATGCAAGCTCAAAAAGGTATATTCTAAACATTGTTTTCTAAAATAGTGCATTTTAGTTATAATATTAAACGTAGATCTAATATTTTCAAATAATTTTCTTTAGGAAATGCTATATGTCACCGTTGCAACTACTCTGAAGTTTTATGTATCAAAGCATGATTGATTCTATTATAGATGTACAAAATAAAATTTAAAAGCATCTGATATTAACAACTCCTTTAAGTGTTCATGTGGAGAGAACCTCAAAATGGAAATACCAAAGTAGATATTCTAAATTATTGTACTCAGTTGTTTATCATATTGTTATGGTTTATATTTACTTATATGTAATATTTCATTTGCATAACAGATACAAAGTTGATATATATATATATATATATATATATATATATATATATATATATATATATATATATATATATATATATATATATATATATATATATATATATATATATATATATATATATATATATATATATATATATATATATATATATATATATATATATATATATATATATATATATATATATATATATATATATATATATATATATATATATTATTGAAGGTGAATCAAAGTATCGATTTTTTTTGAGATACCGATTGTGCTGAGATTATTGAAAAGTCTGTTGAAAATATGATTAAATCAATATATATATATATATATTATTGAAGGTGAATCAAAGTATCGATTTTTTTTGAGATACCGATTGTGCTGAGATTATTGAAAAGTCTGTTGAAAATATGATTAAATCAATGTTGGAGGTATACTTTTTTTTGCCAGTTTCAACATTACTTACATAATGTATAGTTAATTGATGCATATTTTTAATGTGTCATTCTTAGGATGGTGAAGATTATCCTATGGTGTATCCTGATGAACTTGACTTACTCTTGGGTAAACGGAATGGCATTCAGAGTTAAGGTCCAGCTAGATTTTGGACAAGCCTATGTTTGAAAGCTCTCATATGATGAAGAGTTTGTCAAGCAGATTCAAAATGATTATATTACTGATGAGGTTAGATTGTTTTCTAAACATAGACATCAATATTATAAGCATATTTAGACTTAACGATATCTCCAAACCATTTCTTAATATCAACAACTAATTTGCAGCCTCAGAGTCTTCCCGTTACACAAATTTCAGTCACCAATCATGTTGAAACTTCCATGGTTTGTTAATACTTTTATACAAATTCAAAATATATTTGGTCATTTCCTGTATAAATGCTAAATTATGTTTAATATTTTTCAAGGAGACATTGTCTGCAGTTGAAAATGATCCTGAAAAAAGTTTGGCAAATACACCGTCTAAAGATGGTTCAGCTGCGCATAATGTTGAAGATTTAGACTATCAAGTTTATGGAGCTACACAATTTTCAGGAACCAAACCATCAAAGAAAGTGAAGATTGAACCAATTTCTTGAAAATGATCCTGAAAGTGATGTTATTTGAAGACAAACTGATTCAATTTTATTTCCATTTCTTATTAGCATTATGCAATTTTTTATGTGTTGAACACAAATTTTAGCAAGTTTTATTTCTTACCTGCATCTTGATACTATTGTACCCCAATTTTCCCCCCTAAGATCCCTTCATCATACCATATTAATTCAATCACAACAAGATCACATTAGGGCTTTTGGTTCTCCTCTTTATCTTTAGCTTTTCTCTTTGAGGAATCACCAAGCACCTTGACTTGTTTTTCTTTTGTGATCATGTATGTTTTGTTTTGACTTTCCTTTTAATTAATAAAATACAATGTTGGTTTGTCTCACTTGTTAATAATGTAGGTAAAGACAATGTGGCTTAGCAAGTTGATCCATGGGTTCATGAGTTTATTTCCATGCCCTAGTCAATAAAGCTTGAGAAATTCAAACCTCACTATTGAAGTTGTTTTGGAAGAAATGGCATGGCAAGGTTTATTATGGTTCACCATATTTCAAAGTTATCAAGATTGATTCAAAAGTACAAGGGGTTGATTGAAGAAGTTGTCATGGTTGGACAAGGCCTTGTTCCCATTGATCACAAGTGCATATTTCTCTCAATTCTCAAGATGTGAAAATTGTTTTGGTTGCTATGAGTTCTCATTATCATCCTCAACAACGTCTATCTACAAAGAAAAAGTGTTGGTACAAGAAGGTTGCTTAAAATTGTCAAAGTTCCTCAAAGCATTTTCTTGATCTAGGAGCTAGGATTTTGAACTTCAAAGAAGTATATCTTGCTCATCTTTTGGTATTTTTGAGTGATTTCAAAAACATCCTTCTCTTAAAAGGGTTATTAACAAATCACTTCAAAAGTTTCAAGGAGTTTTCATGTGGAAGAAACTTGATGGTGAAGAAAGATTACAAGTACTCTAGATGAACCCCCAATTTTCCATGTGTGACTTCAAATGATCATAACTTGGTTAATTTTTATAACCTTGAGCCCAATATTTTTCCACAATGATCTTGAGGATGAGAACTTTATTCCTTATTTTATGTGCAAAGTGAGAAAATGGATGGAAGATGCCCTAAGGATACAAAAGATTATAGGTCATTTCATGATTTTTTTTCAACTTCAACAATTCATAACTCTCTCAATTTTTTGGAGATTTTGAATGGTTCAAGTTTCAAAATGTCATTCAAGAGGTCTATTTCATTCCATCTTTTTTGG